TCTCAAATCTACCTGGCTCTCTAGACCAGATTTAGATGGATTTGGGACATGATTTCATGGCCTGGATTTGAAATCTAGGCTTCTGTCTTTGCAGCCTATCAACAGGATTAATAGTCATTTTTTTTTCTAGTAATTGCTTTTATTGTATTTGACTAGTGCCTGCTGTACAGTCTTAAATGCTACTGTGTGGTTATTTTCACTAGTATATTTTGTAACAAAATGTACGTGAGAGACCAACTGTACTAGATGCAGGCAATGTTGTCCCGATAAACTTATGATCAGTGGATTCTGACAATGGTGTGGATCTGAAGCTCACAGATGAAAGTCCTGATGGCTGACTTTGCCTTTGGTCAAAGGGGGGATGATAAGTGTAAAAGCACCTAGGAACTTGCAGTTGGGAGCCGACAGGCATGGTGGAATCTTCCCTATCGAGCATAAACAACTCCTACGAGATGTTTTCACCAGTCAAGATGGCTCAGTGGTTGTCATGCAAAAAGATGCAGAAAGTTTACTCTGTGTTTGAAACCAGAGAGATTCAACAGTCTGCAATCAAGACCACATTAATGCCCCTACCTCCCAGATAAAGTGGTCAGGATCATCACCAAATGGCCCCATTTAGGAAAACCTGCCCCTACTCCCTAAACACTCCTTAGACTCCCCTCGTCAGCTCCTAAAATCAGCTCCCTGTGACATGCTTATTTTCCTTTGTTATTTGCTTTCCCTTGATGCAGCACACCAAACAAACCCAGTCTTGTTGGAATATACTGTGTGGTCCTTGGGTGGCTGTCGACAGCTGTGCAAATCTAGGGAGCCCATTTGGAGCCTCCCTGCACCTCCGTCCCTCTACCCCTGCCCTGGTTCACGCCCTGTCCATCTGCTCCAACCTCCTTTGAATTTAGTGTGAAGACAATGCTTGATTCCCGGGCATCAGAAAGGCTAAACTAATCAGATGATTAGGTTTGGCATGAAAGGATTCAACTCGGAGCAGATAATTACTTGGAATGAATTATCTTGGGAAGAGCTATGGGATTGGACACTGACCATAGGGTGGTTCAAGGGGCGGGTCATTTGGATTCCTTATTAAGGACAGAGCCCAGGCCCTTCCTCACTCTTTCCAAGTCTCTGGCCAACACGTTGCTTGGACTTGCCCCTCTTCTGAATCTGGTCAGAGCAGAGCATGGACATGGGAACAGGCACTGTCACCGAGAAGCCGTGGTGGACCCTGCCCGAAAACTTTGATGCTCCAATGGTGTTCCACATGGAAGCGGACCAGGAGGAGCTTATCTTCGGTGAGTGGCCCTCGCTGATGTCCCCTCCTTCAGCCTTGTCTCCTCGGGTTTCAATCTTTCCCTACTCTGCCACCTTCACAGTTCTCGGATCCCTTCCCCAAGGCCACCTCCCCACTCCCCAAGAGCTGGTGGCTGACATTCCCTCCTCTCACCTCTTCTGCTCACAGGGCACAGTGACACATACCTTCGCTGCATCGAGATGAACAGCCGCACCCTTATTCAGCTGGAGAGCTGGTTCACAGCTACAGGCCAGACTCGTGTGACTGTAGTGGGACCACACAGGGCCAGGCAGTGGCTGCTGCACATGTTCTGTTGCGTGGGGAGCCGGGACCCCTATCGCCATGCTCGAGGTAGGTATCCTCGGCTGAACTGCGGCGGTGGAGGGGCTTGATGGTGGAGTTCTGGCTGAGTTGTGTGGCATACTGGATTCTTGAAGAATCCCTTGTGTGGCTGGGGAATCCAGGTGCTTCCCAGAGTCCACTGGGAAAGGAAGGGCTCACTTTTGTGGCCAGGTAGCCGGGAGGTGTAAATGGGTTACCT